ATGTACGCATCGCGAGGAACAAACAGCTGGGTTCCGCATAAAATGAGTTCGTCATTCCAGGCGCAATTTTCCGTAAATAGTTGGGCTGTTTATGCAATTGCCTCAGCTCGACATATACGATTCAAGCCGTATTTACATACACAATTTACGTGCTGCAATTAAGTGCTACGTTTCCAAGTAGCAATTTCTGTCATTCGACCCTAATGTTACGTAAAGACTCGTGGACGTTGCAAATTTAACAGACACTGCTCGTCACAGTCTGAATACATAACCTGATTACGGTTCATTTGTCCAAGTTCATTCCTCGCTTGCCGTCTCGCATGGGCTTTTTCCGATTGACCGGGGCTCGATCTCGACTCAGGCTCGGACTCCGACTCCGAACCTGCCGGCGGCGGGTGGTGGTATCAGCTGGTTCGGCTCTGGTCTGCTGCTCGGCTCTGCGCGGGTCTTTGTTGGTCGTCCGCAGGCGTTCGTCGAACTCGGCGCGGCGGCCACGCGAGCGGCGAGGGACGCCACTCCGCCGGATGCTCCGCTCCCCGGCGGCCTCCCGCTCCGGACATGCTTTTAACACTTGGGGCGTGGTGAGCAGCTATCCCGGGCCACATCCTGCGTTTTGGGCAGGACGTCTCGCCTTAATAATGTTTGTTTTCGTCCAGGCTCGATGCCATCCTCCCGGCACGGCCTGTGCGCTCAGACGCCTTGTCTGGCCGGCTGACCGTCACTGGCTTTCTGTCTTACATATCGCAGCCTGGCTGCCATGTAAGGGGAAAGAATTGCAAAGAGGAGAGCGGGAGGGGGGGGGGGGGGGGGGGCAATCGGAACTATACCAACAAGATAGGTGCTGTGGCCAAATAGTGGCAGATTCTTCTTCAAAAATGTTTCGTCCTTAGCCCAGAAACAGGATGTAAAGTCAGTATCCCAAAATATTTAGAAACTATGAGACATCTGTAACGAAAAATTACTCAAATACAAACACCCATCTGCTGTCCCATGTCATCCTGGAGAGATGGGCTCTTCGGGATCAGCGCAGCTGGTAATATAGAATAACGTCAATACAATTGTTTTGTAGCACCATAACTCCATTTAACCAATATTACGTTTTTACTTAAGTTCATTCACTCAATAATGACTTTAAGCTCAAACACACACACACACACACACAACACACACACAACACACACACACACACACACAAACACACACACACACACCACACACAAGCATATAATAATATATATATATATATATATATATATATACGCGCGCACAAACGGAGGCGCCAGCCCTTCTTCCCCATATCAAGTCCAATTATGGCCGCAGAGTAACGTGAACAAAATTCATGAAGAAATGCGCCCCGAAATAGGATGGACAAGGTTCGTGGGCTCCCCCCACACTCCTTCAATTCCAAATGGCAGTTGAACATTCCCGACGAATGTGGCTTGGCAATGTCAATATACCACTTTGATCCCGTTCCAATCTACAATCTACGTTCACTGAATCCTCAATACCTATCTATATCTATCGTTTCGTATCAAAACTACATCTGTTTTACAGAGGTTGTTTTAACACGAAGCGGTTGATTGAAATGGCTGAGTTCATGCAATGCAATTTAGCATGTTCAAGCGCCGCCGTGCTTTCCAAAATCAACAAAACACTGGGCATCTTTTCAAGTATTCTGTGACCCATTCATAAAAGCAGCAACAAAAAAAGACGTGGAGTATTAGGTGTGGACCAATTTCAAGCCTGTAGGGCAGGAGTCCAAACTGACACAGACGTCCAAACTTAAGCAGCACATTGCTAGAGGCTTAAACTCGTGACTTTCTTTTTTAAACAGCCTACACTTTGGCATATCAGGTGAAACTGATGAGCTTAGGGCTCAAAACCTGAACCGCAAGTTTGGCCTTACCCGTTACCAAAAATGTTGGCATGGGTATGGGCAGTGCACTGCATGGGCCATATTGCCTTGAGTGATATGGACAAAAACACGCTAATCCCCACCTGGGAAGCCTGGCTTTGCGTAGCCAGAGCCCAGCTGGCGCCCTTTCAACCCTGCTGGCGTCCTTGTTCAGTCCAATATTCACGGCTCTGCTGCGCAGTTTTTGTTGAGCCCATGCCTGACACGGACTTGCACCCAGCAGATATACACCGTTTCCACCAGTTTGGGACAGGCAGGGCCTCACCTGGAGCCCAGCGCCTGCCCAGGCGCTGGGCTCCGATACACCGATACCCGGACAATGGTCCGGCATGTGGCCGGCTGTGCCCGGCCAGGCCCTGTGCAATCAGCCCGGCTGTGGCTCGCCGCGGTCCACCATAAAAATTCGGAAAGGGCCATCTGGAGTAGTGGGGCACCTGTCATGTCAACTCAACCTGCCCGTATCGGCCCGGCCGGGGGTCCGCGATGAAATGCTAAGGCGGGAGAGGAACCTTTCTACAAAACGCCGTCCTCATGGTCGGACTTGAGCCCCTACGAGGGCTGGGTGGACTAGCAAATGAGTCTGGCTGGGCTGGATCTAACTTTATTGCCTACCTTACACGGATAGATTCGGACAGATGAGTGATTGGTCGAAAAACTGTGAACGCGAAATGCATATTTGCCCACGGCCCTGACCAAACTAAGGTTGGTCATCTGAGTCGTCTGATCGCAGATATAACTTCTTCTGACGGTTGAATAACATAACTCCTTCATATGGAGCTAATTGGTAGCATCATTCATATCAGTTATTCTGGCGCTATGATGCGCCACTATTTCCTTGTTTACAGTTCTCGGTGGTTATCGAAATTTGTGTGGTGCTTGATTGTTCAAAGCTTTGGTAAGTGTTCTGCGGTGCGCAGCTGGTGCCGAGGTAATTGAGGGAGTGAATACGTGGCTAGTGACCTTTGGGAGCGCACGAATGCCCGTGGATGTGACCTGTGCTGGTGGGTCGGGGTCTGGGACTCGGTTGGAAACTTGGATTTCTTGGGTCTTGTGCTTTGTCCATGTAGGATGAAATAACATCAAAGTGACTGCACTATGTTAATATTGAATATTTGGTTACAACCCATGATTCCCAGGGATGGTTGGTGCACTTTTCTTGGCACCATGCTTTGTGCTGGTGTCACTAAAAACCTTTCTGTCACTGCTATACTTTCAGTGTACTGCTGTCTTTCAGAAATTACCTGGCACGTACTGCCTCAACATAATGACAGACTGGCAAATTACCAAGAAGACCTTAAATGAGCGTTGCCTGTTCCTGTTTGAATCCGGGCAATGGCATGACTGTGAATTTATTGTTGGGATGGAATCAAATCAGCAGGTGAGTTTTCCTCATGTGAATTTCACTGCATGCAGCACCAATATGCACATGTGATTTAGGATAGGGATGAGCGTACCTTAGGAATCACACTGTTTTGGAACTTGTTGATACCGTCATGATTGAAGCAAGAGCTTATGGGCAGAATTGGTGAGGATAATTACTGCAATGTTGCTTACAGTATGTACACTCATGTGTCAGCATACCATGTCTTGGTTTCTCAAACTACTGCATAATAATAGTAATGGGAAGAAAAAAATAGCAACACCACACATTCAGAAATAAGGTGATGCCACAGTCACACCTTGTTGCTACCTCATGTTGCAGGATGTGCACTGACAGGGCAGGATTTTTTGTTGAACACCATAATAACAAATGGTATCACTGTCCTGACAAGGGCAGCAATTTCCTGAGATTTAATCTAAATTAACCTGACCTAACTTTACCTAACCTCACCTAACCTCATCTGGTCAGGGTATGCATTGCTACCTCATGTTAAGAAAGAGCATTGTACATCAATCATCATTTTTAAGGCAGAACATATCATAATTAATCATAAGGCGGGTCATCTAAGCTCTTACGTTGGAACTGAAATAACTATGATAGTGAACATCTGAGCATAAACACACATTGACCACGACCCCGGCACCATTTCTACGCATGATCGCAACATTCATTCCTGCGTGATCACAACATTACTGCCCATCAAGAACCATAGAAATGTATGAGGCCATGGCAGCAGTAATTCAATAAAATTTGTTCCTTGCATATCCAAGGAGTCTTTCATATTGTTTGTAGCTTGGTCAACATGGTGGGGAAATATGACATTTTGGCGTGGGAATGAAAAGCAAAATGGGATGGGGGTGGCTAAACAAAACTTCTTAATATGGTACATATATATGGCATGGAACATGGATGCCAATGGGACACTGGGTTGAAGGGGATAGGGTGGGGGTTAGGTTAGGTTAGGTTAGGTTAGGTTAGGTTAGGTTAGGTTTGGTTAGGTTAGGTTAGGTTTGTAGGTTAGGTTAGGTTAGGTTAGGTTAGGTTAGGTTAGGTTAGGTTAGGTTAGGTTAGGTTAGGTTAGGTTGGTCAGGTCAGGTCAGGTCAGGTCAGGTCAGTAGGTTAGTGTAGGCTATGTTCTGGACTATTCCGGCCTGTCTGTTTCATAAACACACTTAGATGCGATAAGAAATGTTTTTATTGCATTATTATTGTTACCTTGGTCCCATACATTTGTTATGGTTCTTGATGAGCAGAAATATTGTAATTACGCAACGGCAACGCAGAAACAGCGCTGGGGAGTCGAGGCGGTGGGGTGCTGTGGCGCACGGAGCTCGCTATCGTAAATTTGAAGTTAGGAGCATGAATCTACCTGTTTTAAGATTATTCACGATATGTTCCGCCTTAAACACGAATGGTGTACAATGATTTTTTGTCTAACATTAGGTAGCAATGTATACCTACACCTCTCATCTCGCCTTGCCTCACCTTACCTCACCTCACCTCACCTCACCTCACCTCACCTCACCTCCCTCACCTCACCTAACCCACCCCTACTTGAACTTTACTTGTACTTTACTTCTACCTCTACTTCTACTTTGACTTCTAGTTCGACTTCTACGTCTACCCCTACCCTTAGCCCCACTCCACATGTATGTCCAATCCCAACCATTTGCCTCCCCATTCTCTTGCCTGTACTCCTGCAGGCAGGAAGAAGGAACTAACAGCTTCAGAATGGCGTGTTTGGATACAAGTACAGTGCCAGACTTTCGTCATGTTAGATATCCAAATCTGCATGTGCATGCGTGCGTGCGTGTGTGTGTGCGTGTGTGCGTGCGTGTGTTCATGCCACAAATGACCCACATTGCTGTCAGTTGATGGCCCTGCTTAACCCAGGTGTTTCAGGCACACCGCCTGGTGCTGACGATGGCCAGTCCTGTGTTCGAGGCAATGCTGTTTGGCGGCATGGCTGAGAAGGCGCCCATCAAGGTGCTGGACGTCAGCCCAGATGCCTTCCGCAGTCTGATGCTGTGAGTGGCTGGTCGCTGGCCAGTGATGGTGACACCTGCTGGCTGGCTCTCACCCCTAGTAAAGGAAGTTTGTTACTAGATGGGTCAGTCTGCATTTCCCAGTATTGCCTTGAAATCAGCTGATGCATTTGCACCATCACACAGGAAAACAGGATGGATCTAGTTGGAGTATTTGAGATGTATATGTATGTATTACTTCCACAGGGCTGTGGAGGCGCACAGTACTTGTGGGGGAGTTCTGGAAGGGTTGAGGTAGGCTGATCACATGGGCAATGAGGCGTGACTATCACAGCCAAGTATTTAAAGTATAAGGTATAGAAATATGCAGGAAGAAACCAGATAGCACACGAACACCCAGGTGCCGGCTACCATAGCATGAGGGCTCAACATGTGCATTTCGCCGCGCGTACACAACGCTGCTGTGCTGGTTGTGTGACATCGCAGTCCATTATACAGTGCTGGGGCGTGGTACCCAAAACGTCTCCTACCGACCTCGGTTTTTGGCCCAGGGCGTTGTAGGAGCCTATCCTGCCGAGTGGGTCGCGCACGTGCGTCACGGCTTAACGTGAGCAAGTTTCTCAGCATATCGGGCTTGCTGTGTAGCAGCACCTTACAAGCCAGGGTTACTTACTGAAGTGCTGCCGTATGTAGAGGCGACATTCGTCGAACCGACACATGGAGGGCAGACACAGGTAAAATTTACGTCGGCCAGAAAATACTGTGGCAACGAAATTTAGAATCTTTTGGATTGTATCAAAAATTTTCGGTGTGCCGTTGCCTTAAACCTTGAGACAGCGTCCGACCTGCGTGGGCACCATCGCTGTCAGTAGAGTTTGTATAACGCCATCTGGAAGGCAGTGCCGCGCATGGGACAGGCCTATCAGCACGCCCACGCACCGGCGGCTGAGCTCAGACACGTGGGAATCCCAGGGCGCTGTCAAAGACGGCTCCCAGGTTCCTACCTCCGCACATGGCCGCGATGCAGCGTCACACAGTGTTGCGTTGACGTCCGGCAAGCTGCGTAGATTTGGACGAGTGTCGAAGTGATAGCTATGTTTTAGTTGCCCATCGAAAAAAGCTTTCAGCTGATCGGCTGTCGCGTCTGGTCGGGTCGACTGCCCGCTCTTCTCAGCCACCACCGTCCCCATGCAACGCCACATTCCTCATGTCTTGTGTGTTTTTATTATACAGATCGAGGGACTAGTTGGCTCGACATTGTTTCGTTGACGCGCCTCACTTCTTGCAGCGTGCGATCTCAAATGACGCAGCGGACTAGTTCCAGCAGCGCTGGAAATGGGTGTCGGATATGCTTTAACATATGCATGATTGTGTGCTGTCATCTGTCACGTATTTCGTAAGCAGGGATAGGCCTCTGCGCAAGCTTTCAGAACCTCTTCAACAACCAACAGCCATGGAGCACAATGCACATGGCTTGCCTGGCCACCTGAAACTGCCCGTTGCGGCCTGCAGATATATCTACTCGGACCAGATCAACCTCCAGTCGTTTGACCAGGCCTGCGAGATCTGCTATGCCGCCAAGAAGTACATGCTGCCACACCTGGTGGAGCACTGCACCAAGTTCCTGTGGAAGGACCTCGCACCCCACAACGTGTGTCGCGCGTACGAGTTCGCCAAGCTGTTCGAGGAGCCGGTGCTCATGGAGAAATGTTTGAAAGTGAGTGAACATCAAAGGTGTTAGCCCCGCAGGAGTTGTGTTTGGTCGGGGGTTTCTGTGGCCTTGTGGCGCCTTTCGGAACAGTGTGGAGATTTCATAGGCATATGGAACGTCGCGCCTAGGAAAGGACGACCTAAAGAGTGGTTGGTAACCGTTTGTTCTCATGCAGTGGGATCCAAAGCTTTATATCAGGAATCATTTTCAGTGGTTATCGTGAGCCGCCCGACAACTTACGTGTCATTTCCAGCGTGTTTTGTATTTGTTTTCGATCTGACCCATGACTGTGTGTTATGCAGGCTGTTTGCCACAAAGCACAGGTGAAACCAAGTATATATGACGTGTGTGACAAGCCGGAGGAACTGAGCGCCACATGTATATATATATATATTATATATATATTATATATATATATATTATAATATATCTCTGTGTGTGTGTGTGTGTGTGTGTGTGTGTGTGTGTGTGTGTGTGTGTGTGTGTGTGTGTGTGTGTGTGTGTGTGTGTGGTGTGTGTGTGTGGTGTGTGTGTGTGTGTGTGTGCGTGCGTGCGTGCGTGCGTGCGTGCGTGCGTGCGTGCGTGCGTGCGTGTGTGTGTTTTGTATATGTATACATATATACCTATATATATGTATACATATATATAGCTATATACATATATGTGATTTATATAGATAGTAGCATCGAAGAAGTTGTTATGTGCAAGCGCATACCCGGGTAGACGGCGGCCGTTTTAGATGTAGTCGTATAACGTCCACTGAGCGCTGCACTGGCGATCCGGATCCAGGATCTATCTAGTTAGACATCGCCTGCGCCATTTGCCGGTTATCGCGGCTCTCTGACAGTATCGGCAGACTCGATCTGTCGGCGATCGGCTGCAGCCTGGTCACAGACGCCCGCCTGTCGCAGATCATTACGCAGCAGACGGCGAAAGTGATCGGCACATCGGCCATCGAGGACGTGGAGCACGCGTCGCTGATCGCCATCCTGGAGCAGGTGAGGCCCGCCGCGAGCCGCGCGCATCTGCGAGCTGCGAAGTTCGCGGCACGACAGCTGTCAGGCGCACACGCGGAGTATCTGTCTCGTGCACTCGCTTCAGAGTGCACAAAAAAATTAAACTGGAGTCAGCTCCGTGAATAGCTGGCGGACGCGGGACGTCCATTATCGAGGATCTGCCGCCGAGAGTGCTCAAGCGGGAGTGACCGACGAGCAAGAGACGCGTGGACAATTACCGGGGCTGCCAGTGCTCCTGTTTTGACGTGGTGGTGGCGACATGCGTGAAAGGATGTGCCTCGCGAGTTCGCCGAGCCATATAACGACCGGTTATCGGTAATCTCACCGACACTGCATTATGACAGACAGATAATCTATAGCACGTCCTAGAGCCTAATGCGCCGTGAGCTCGCGCCTCACAGTCCTTGGAACGACTCACGTTTGCGATTGAGACGCCCGGCTTGTCCGTTGCCCCGCAGAGGCCTGGCGCACCCACTGCCCCCCTGGGTCCTGGCGCGCCCACTGCCCCGGCAGAGGCCTGGCGCGCCCACTGCCCCCGCTGGGGCAGGCGCGCCCACTGCCCCGCTGGGCCCTCGCGCCCACTGCCCCCGCTGGGGCCTGGCGCGCCCACTGCCCCCGCTGAGCCTGGCGCGCCCACCCCCCCGCCCGTGGCCTGGCGCCCCACTGCCCCCGCTGAGACCTGGCACTCCCCCGCCCCAGCCCCCCGGCGCGCCACTGTCGCCGCGATGACCCTGCCCAACCTAACCCTGCTGACCCGTGACCCTCGCGACGTTGGCAGAACTACGAACGTCGGCTCCGAGCTGGACATCTTCAACATGCTGGTGCGCTGGTCGCGAAGGAGTGCCAGCGCCGGCCGCTCGATATCAACCCCGACAACCCAGCGCAT